CCTGACCTCACAAATGGGCTGAGCTGTAGCTCGCGGTATACTGAGCCTAGGGTGACAGGAGGACGCTAGTTTGTGTCTTCCCGTTACCCTAAGGAGAACTATGGGGAAAAGCACTGACCCCATAGTTCTCCTTTAAAGCCCCTGTGTACATACACATATGTAAACGCATGCGTTGGGTGCACCTACGTAAGAAAACAAGATTGCACCACACTCCCTAGAGCAGGGGTGCCCATTAGGTAGATCGTGATCTACCAGTAGCTCTCAAAGCTGATGGTGGTAGATCACGAAGGGTGTGAATGGCGGCCCCTTTATTCCATTTTGGTATATTTATTTAGCTGTGCACACATGATTACCTATTAGCCTGAGTCTGCTGAGCCAAGCTCCCTGACACCTTTCTGGTGGATACTGGTGGTTGAAGTGCTATATATTAAATCAAAGAATGTTAGTTTACACAGCCTGTTGCAAAATACAGCAAGGTGAGCCAGGAGAGAGAGCATGGAGAGACAGCCAGGGGAGAGAGAGCATGGAGAGACAGCCAGGGGAGAGAGAGCATGGAGAGACAGCCAGGGGAGAGAGAGCATGGAGAGACAGCCAGGGGAGAGAGAGCATGGAGAGACAGCCAGGGGAGAGAGAGCATGGAGAGACAGCCAGGGGAGAGAGAGCATGGAGAGACAGCCAGGGGAGAGAGAGCATGGAGAGACAGCCAGGGGAGAGAGAGCATGGAGAGACAGCCAGGGGAGAGAGAGCATGGAGAGACAGCCAGGGGAGAGAGAGCATGGAGAGACAGCCAGAGGAGAGAGAGCATGGAGAGACAGCCACAGGAGAGAGAGCATGGAGAGACAGCCAGGGGAGAGAGAGCATGGAGAGACAGCCAGGGGAGAGAGAGCATGGAGAGACAGCCAGGGGAGAGAGAGCATGGAGAGACAGCCAGGGGAGAGAGAGCATGGAGAGACAGCCAGGGGAGAGAGAGCATGGAGAGACAGCCAGGGGAGAGAGGAAGGAGAGACAGCCAAGAGAGCAAAGAGAGACAGCCAGGAGAAAGAACGAGGAATGACAGCCAGGACAGAGAGGAGAAACAGCCAGGCGGATGAACAAGGAGAGAGAGCGAGGGAGTTTTTTTTATTTTTTGTTGGTAGATCTCATGTAGCTCGTCATTTGAAAAGTAGATCTTAACACAAAAATTGTGGGCACCCCTGCCCTAGAGAGAGCAATAATTCTAGGGCCATCATTTACTGTTAACTCTAAATTGATGACCTGTACAGGCTTTTAAAGCGTCGCCGACAATTTGGGGTACCAAGGTTTTTTGCCCTTTTAGGGACGCATGCAATCGGCATGTTTTGGTATCTGTCCACTGGACACAATCTAATTTTTTATATTTTTCAAAAATATTGGTATTATATTGTGTTTGTGTACAATAAAATACATTTGGATGTATTTTTTACTTAAAATTTTAGTTTGATCAACTGTTGCACTAATATTGTGTGGCATTAAAAATGTACAACTGCCAGCATTTTGTCTGCTCTCTGGTTTTAGAAAATGTAATATTTTGGGGGCTTTATGCCATTTTCAGGCCTAAAATGTGCATTTTACCGTGCAAAAATATCTCTGGCAGCAAAAGGGTTAGTACATATAATTAAAGACTAGCGTATGTGTGTATGTATGATCAGTGTACATGGGTGCAGTGTTGTGCATTTTGATCTGGTTGTTTGGTCTCCAATAAAACATAGTTTAATTATTCAGGAAAATGGCCAGAAAAGGCACCTTAATTGCACATCCACACAATAAAACCTGCCTGAAAATTGTCAGAGATACCTTTTATTCCTCCTTCCTTTAACTTACTAGTACATGCTGAGGAAAATAGCTCTCCCCATACTTAAATCAACCTCCATTGTACTGGGCTCTGTACATTTTCTAAATCGATTAAGACAACAGCTGCATTAGAGGTTAGACATTTCTATTGATCCTGCTGGTGGTTGTTGTACCAGATCCAGGCTGTCTATATATAAGATTCAGGAATTAAATCTAGACCGGCTGTGTTTATTATATAGTATATGATATGATATGCTGTGTTATCTGGTTATGTGTATCACATGACCCCCCAACTGAGGGAGGGTATATATCATTTTTTAAATCTTTGTTTGTATATATTAATGATAATGTGATGATATGCTGTGTTGCATGTTACATGTTTATGTGAATACTGCAATGGTCTTTTTTTCTAGCTACGCTCCTTGTTGCTATTAATGAAATTAAGAAGAGTTCAAGGGCAAAGGGATTGTCCTTTTACCAGTATGGTATGTCCATTATTTACCCTATGACACTGTGGGAATGGTTTGGGGTCATTTTATTTTGAATACTGTCTTATTTTATACTGTTGTGCTGTTCTTAGTGATTCAATCCCGTGACCCAAGCACCAACGTAGTCCTGATGGAAGATGCTGCTGCAGTTTTGGGGGTTGTAATGGCTGCTTCCTGCATGGGGCTGACGTCACTGACTGGTGAGATGTTTTTTTCTTTTTTACAATGAGGTGCAATTTATGTAGAAAAAAATATGTATGTTTGGGAGGGGGGCAATAGAGGTGACAGGTAAAAGCAACTCCACTCAAAGCTAATTTCTATTCTTTAGGACCCTGCTGGGACAGATGACATTTTTTTTTCTTCATAGTTTGAGGAAGAGGCAGTGTAAGAATTCTCCTCACCAGGGCCTCAGTTAGTAGCAGTGACCCTGTGAGTGATGGATCACCCCATTCGAAATGAAGAATTCCATTTTGTGTGTCAAAGTTCCATTTATTTGTAGATAACACACTGGAGGGAGAGTAGATTCAAGTAGGACTCAATTGTCAAGTCTCTCCCCCACTGTTCCCAGCTTCCTCCATGTTTTGAGTGAGTCAGCCAACCTATTAGAGCTGCAGCTAACGATTATTTTCAAAATCGATTAGTTAGCCGATTATTACGTTCGATTAATCGCTTAATCGGATAAAAAATAAAATACATTTTTAAAAATGGCTCCAGTGATGGGACTACTAGTTTGTATTGAGATTGTAGTCCATCACAGGAGCAAGCTTGGAGCGGTGGAAGTAAAAAAAAAAAAAGTGTGGTGTGCAATATAGTGAAATGAAAAGTGTAAAATTATACAGCAATGAATGCAGAATGGCATCGGCTATAGAGGACTACAAAACCCAGCAATAGTACATTATACAGCACAATTTAGAATACCACCAGCTATAGAGGAATACAACAAATCCCAGCAATAGTACATTATAGCTGGCGGTATTCTGCATTGCGCTGTATAATGTACTATTGCTGGGTTTTGTAGTCCTCTGTAGCTGGTGGTATTCTGCATTGCACCACTGTATAATGTATTATTTGCTGGGTGTTGTTGTCCTCTATAGCTAGTGGTATTCGGCATTGCACCACTGTATAATGTACTATTGCTGGGATTTGTTGTACTCTATAGCTGGTGGTATTCCGCATTGCGCTGTATAATGTATTATTCCTTGATTTGTAGACCTCTATACAGCGCAATGCAGACTACCACCAGCTATAGAGGAGTACAACAAATCCCAGCAATACATTATATTTACAGTGTATAATGTATGGATGGGATTTGTAGTCCTCTATAGCTGATACGGTACGGGTTCGTGCTCTGTATAATATACAGCACAATGTACCATCAGCTATAGAGGAATACAAATCCCAGCAATACATTATAGAGCACCATGTGTGGGGAAAGTGCAGGCTTACCTGAGCAGTCTTCCAGCAACTTGTTTCTGAGATCGGGCCTGTCTGTCGGCGGCTGTCATCCGCCCACAACTGCACCTCCTTACCTTCTTCTCCCCGCGTCCCTGTGCCGATCGTGGATTTGGGCGGTTGACAACTTTTTCAATAATCGATTATAATCGATGATGTCGATTAGTTGTTGCAGCCCTACAACCTATAGACTAGCATTGTGAGATAGAGCAGTAAAGCATAACCTTTGTGTTGCACTGCAAAGCAGGAAGCAGTGCCTGCATATGTAATGAAGATCTGTCTGCCTCTTCTACTTATAACAATTATGAATTACATAGAAAAAAGCACATTTCTGAAACATTAGCACATACTAAGGGCTTTTTTATAGCTAGCTGATCTCTTTTTCATGTTATCTAAAAAAACATTGACAATACTTTCTCTTTTAGATGCTAAAATTAGAGGTTTTTTTCTAAATTCTAGTACAACTTTACTACGTTGTTTAGTAAAAAATATAGGGTAACACTCTTAACAGAAATTCATATTTGAATGGTAAAATGGTGTGTATGTATTATATGTGTTAGAACTAGTATCAAGACCTCTTTGCTGGTGTCCTGTGGTGCACATCGGCACAGGAGTGAGGCAGTTAATTCTGAAGATGCCATCTTTTTTTATACCAGTCTCATTCCCATCATTGGGTACAGACACCCAAGGCAAATCTCCATGAATTATGTGCGCGCGCGGCTGTTTTTTGATCTTTTAATGCCATCTTCCTCTTCATAAATCTCACAAGCCACATCTGTTAATTCTACAAACTGCGAGCACACATCTCCTTGTTTTATTGTGCGTCACCTGTCACAGAGACAGGTTCAATTTTAAGGTTTCTAATACTTTGATCCGCTCTGCTGATCTCTAGTGCTGTCTGCAATGACTTTCTACTGACCTTCTTATCACTGAAGAGAAACTTCTGTCAAACTTGTTACACTCACCTGTGTAGTATTGGAGGGAATTTTGTGGATATATAAGATCTGTACGTTTTTGTTGTGTTCATGTTCGGTCTGATTTATACTAATGGGTCACTGTGATTGATTACTAGGGAACCCATTATATGACAGTCTGGGCTCCTTGGGAGTTGGGACACTGTTGGGAGCAGTTTCTGCTTTCCTTATCTACACCAACACAGAGGCCCTCATAGGTCGATCCATACAGCCGGAACAAGTGCAGCGTCTCACGGAATTCCTAGAGAGCGATCCTGCTGTAAGGTAAGGAAGCAATTTGAAATAAAAATAAAAAAAGTAATCTTATTGGGTTTCTTGGTAAGAATTAGAATGATACTGTTGCTCTCGTTATTTTCCTGCTGGTCAGTATCGGTAAAGAAGATTCCGTTCTTTCACAGGCGGAGTGCATCTGGTGTCACTCCACCTGTCACAGTAGCCAGTAACTGGCGCTATAGACGAAGTAGCGGCTAATGCGCCTCTGCTCCCTCCGCTGCCGCAGCCTTGCTTTATACAGCTTCCTTTGCCATCAGGGACAGCGGTACCAGCTGTGCAGCAGTCGGGAAATGGACAGGGCAGTAAAGTATATGCTACCGCCAAACTAGGTCTTATTTTCGGAGTAGGTCTTATATTACAGGAATCTTGAAAAATAGTGCTAGGTCTTACTTTTGGGGGAGGTCTTATTTGCGGGGAAACACGGTACTTGGGAGACTTGGTCCACACCAGAACTTTTTTTTTTTAAGGTTGCAGTGTAACATTTAGGCCCTACAGTAGTATACAAACATGCAAAGCTGTAATGCGTGCAATTCCGTGCAGAGGCCCACAACAGTCTGCGTCCAAAGACATGCATTGTATCGATGTGCAAGTTTGGAATGGCGTGTAGCTGCATGTGGCCACATCATGTCATAGAGACGTACAGGTGGCAGCAAGTAGCTATATGCAGCACCTGTCCCTCCAGGGCAAAGGTCTCTGCACGGACATGCATGTTGTATAGCTGTGCTCATCCGTGTGAATGATGCTTTCTAGTATAAATGTAAACATTTGCTGTATAAGATAGATGAGGTGCTGGTCTCTTCTGTAAGGCTGAAAAGTTGGACAGCTGCTGATGTAGTGTCTTCTCCATTGGTCCCTATAGAATGAGGAACAACAATTCTGCTTCTGGTATGGTCAGAGCAGGAGCAGCGGGAGATGTCCGAGTGTGGAGACGCCCTCCCCTTACTGGCCTAGCTGGAGCTTTTAGCATAAATTTCAATAAAGGTTTGTCACTGGACTAATTCTTCAAATGTCTTTGCAGGGCTATTCATGATGTAAAAGCTACAGATTTGGGAATGAGTAAAGTACGATTTAAAGCAGAAGTGGATTTTGATGGACGGGTTGTAACAAGATCATATTTGGAAAAGCAAGATATTGACCAATTGCTTCAGGTAAGTTCAAAAGAATTGAATTCAGTACACATATAATTCAGACGTATCCGTTGTGCACCTCCATTGCTAATATGCGGAATACACAGGCACAGTGGGGCGTTTGTATGAAGATTGGAGCAAAGGTATAAAAGGGCTTTGCCTTTTATCAAGCAATCCCATGTCTATTTTCTAACCAGCACTGAAAATGTTATGTAGAATCCATTCACTTCAGACAACTCTTCTGCATTGCTTTGATCTAGTTTTGGGCACAAAGATAATTTGTTATGTTTAAAAAAAAAAAAAAGAAAAGAAAAACACGTCTGTTGGTTTAATCAATGAAAAGAAAAGGCATGGACAGGAAAATGCATGTAATCAACTAGTGTTCTAATGTGGACTCACATGGATACACCTATGATATTTTCCATAAAACCTGAATAAATAACAGTGTCAAAGAAAAAAACAGAAACAGCCCCAAAAAAGCCATGGTTAAATACATTCTAAAATACTTTTAAAAGCTCAGGTTTCGAGCCACTATGCCTTTCAGCATAAAGCATCGGAGGAGGTACAAGCCTATAGGACAGTGTGTGTAGAACTTCCAGTAAGAGGAAAGGAGTCTAGTCAAGGAGATTACCAGCATGTAATCCCATTGGTGTAACACTCACTTGTTACCAATAAGCTGTGTTTACATAAAAAAAAACCTAAAAAAAACTTGCATCCATAGAACCGTTAACCCCTAGCTTGTTCAGAGGGAAGCATAACTCTGGATCCACTTTTGTATATTTTCATTCTTTTTTTTAAACTTCGTTCCTGTTGATGACTTTTCCACATTTTTACTGCAATCTGAAGATGACTGCGTACCTCGGTTTACTACAGCAAATGTCAGATACAATGACAGTATTTAAAAAATAAATACAAATGAATTTATTTTGTGTGTTACCAGCCTATAATAATAATAATAATAAAAAAAAAACAAGGCAGGGTTTTTTTTAGTAACTAAATAATTATTAACCAGATTGGGCAAACACAAAAGTGTATAACGCTCTCATCTCATTTATGTTGCAGGAAATTTGTCAAGTGAAGACCCCAGAAGAGTTAGAGGCTTTTATGCTTAAACATGGGGAGAACATCATTGATACACTGGGGGCTGAAGTAGACAGACTTGAAAAGGAACTAAAGGTAAGAGTAGAACATCATGGAGGAGGTCGAAGATTACAATGGAGGTCAAGGATAAAGGTATCTGCCTTGTCCAGAACAACCAATCATATTCTAGATACTTTTTCTACACTAGTTTGGCTGAAATTTGTGGTTGCTTTTGGGCAACACCCATAAATCCTTTTAACATAGCGTTTCGGCAAGATTAAAAAAGAGTAGAATTCAAACGCCATTCAAATTGTAATGAATTTCACCTTTGGAGATGTGTTTTGTAACCAGACGCCCAAAGCCCCCAGCTATGCTTTTAAAGGCTAAATGAACAGCTTCCTTTTTTTGTTTTAGCAGACATCCAGCTCTATGTTTCTGCAACAGACTTTGCTCTCGTTAATTTATAGTTGCTAATGTCCTCACTATTCAACTTGTCAGCTCCCCAGAGAGTTTATTTTCAGTTTTGTGTGCATGTGTTTTGCCATGCTGTGCTCACACAGTATTCTTCAAGAATCCCCCTACATTTAGGAAGTTCTTTTGTCTGTAATTTGGATTTTTGGTCTTCTTTCCTAGTATGCAAATGTAACTCTGAAATGCCTTTCCCTCGCTTTAATAACTACACAGTGATTACAAATATAATGTGCTGAATACATCTATACAAGCAGATGACTCTGCTATGTAATAACACTCTGCCTAGATAGTCAAGTGCCATAACAGCCAACTCTGAGTCTTTTATTAAAACAAATGAAACAAGAACTATTTCTCCTAGATACCACATTCTCTATCTGACTGGCTTCTCTCAGTAGCATGCAGTTCTTGTTCACTTTTTAATTTGAGCACTGGTGATCTTGATGCTATAGGCTGTTTCACTAACAATATGCCTTTATTTCATTAAAGGAGGTGGATGGGGAGAGTAAAACATACTCTCCCCAATACTTGGAGCCAGCATGGGACAGCAGCAGTGTCTTACACCGACTTTAAGACCGAAAGCTGAGTGATCACATGACCGCTTATCAGTCAGTCTCTGCTGTCTGCAGAGAGCAGTGACTGTCACTTACTGCCCGCCACAGGGATTTCCCCCTCCCCTCTCTGATCCTTCAGTGCTCAGTGGAGGGACAGCCCAGGGAAGAGGGCAGACACGGTTGGCTCTGGCTGTCAGCCACACACAGAGATGCAAAGCCAGTGGTCAGTTAGGCAGCTAGGTTGGATCCTGACAATATTGTCGGCATTCTTCTGGACTGTGGCATGGCTGTGACCTGTCAGCTGATCGCGGTCATAAGCAGTGTACAGATGTCCTCCGTGTGACCATGCTTAAAAAAGGAGTATTGCTCATTTTGGGATAGTGGTTGCAGCTTTGAAATTTCCCTGGTTTGTCCCTGTGGTTAACTGTACAACTAGAACCACTGGAGTGTAGTACAGTTACAGCTGACTAAAACAATTATTATGTATTTCTACTTGCAAACAGCTCTGAGAATCCCAAATCTTGCACAAATGCACTCCTGCACTGTGCACATCTAGTTCAGGCTTTATATGGGGCTTAGCTTCTCTCCTGCTTCAGGTCAAGTTCTATCCCCTAGTGTGTCTATGCTCCCTTCCTGCTGTGAAATAGCAGAACCTCTAAAAGTGATTTGGCATTGGAAAATTGTATGACGGTGGTGAAGGCAACAATGTGATGTTAAAGCCAGTCTGCCACCCCCCTGCCCCAACAGGCAGAACCCCCTAGTCCCCACTAATCACTGCAGAAAAAATGCATCTAATTTCCTCATTTATTTATCTAAATCTGTGGTCATATGATGCTCCAGGTCCAGAGTCTTCCATCTTTTAGACATAAAGTGATTTGGCATTGGAAAATTGTATGACGGTGGTGAACAATGTGATGTTAAAGCCAGTATGCCACCCCCCTGCCCCAACAGGCAGAACCCCCTTGTCCCCACTAATCACTGCAGAAAAAATGCATCTAATTTCCTCATTTATTTATCTAAATCTGTGGTCATATGATGCTCCAGGTCCAGAGTCTTCCATCTTTTAGACTGCTCAGTAGGAGGGTCCTTCCTTCTTCGAGTACCCACATCACTGCCTGAATGGCCTGGACACTTCTATTGGCTGTCCAATGGCAGTGTTCTATAAGGCTCAAGATTACTAAAGCTAAATAATAGAGTGTTGGACCTGTGAATGGCAAAGCAAGACTGCAGCGCTGGACCCATACTCTCCCAGAATAGGTGCAGTCCCATGTAAGGTAAAAGTTGTGTGATGGTCTTTTTCTAAATAAAAACATCTTGTGCATTATTGGGAGCAGGAAGGGATCAGGTACTATTCATTTTGCTTGGTACTGGGCTTTGACTTGGGCCCAAGATTCAGGAGCCTCCCCAGCCACAAAGGAACTGGTCTGAACACAAATAGAAATATATTGCCTGACGTTTACCAGTAGAGCTAGTTTATACACTTTGATGGACATGATAGATTCACTTTAAAGCCATGGTGCTTTGCATATTCTAGATGTAATTTATGAAAACCTTTGTACTAATTTTAGCTAGGGGCAACGTAGCTTAACATATTTGGGGCAGTATGTTTTGCCTTTGTGATGGGCTTGACATCTAAGGGTTGTAGTGTAAAATTGATAACAAATCACTTTGCACATGTAAAGTATCTTTATATACAGAGTTTTAAATTGTAACAAGACCTCATCAATGATTTAATGTCTTCCCTTTGAGCAGCACAAGTGCTTATATAGCTGCACCAATACTTCTGTTTATTTTTGTCATTAGTTTTTCACATTTTCCATAATGATTTATTTAACTGGTGTAATCGAGATGCAGCTCTGCTCCATCTGAATGAGCATTAGACCGTGCAAAGCCTAATGTGTCTGCTACAACTGTGTCTAGTGTGGTTAGTCTGCCGATGTTCAGAAATTTCAGTGCAGTTGTCTTTTGGCTTGGGAAGTGTCAATCTAGCATAACAGGTTCAGGTTCATTGGGAAAAATCAGCTAAAATAGGGAAGAAAACCCCACTTTTTACCCTATTTTAGTTACTCCCTTCTATGAACTTTGCACAATCCCCTGTGTTGTAAGAGTTGGGTCCTCATATCTTTTTTTTAATATTCATCGCAATAGGCAAAGTTGGACCTGTGTTCTTAGGAATTATCGAATCGGGTGATAAGTGTAACCTGTCATGTCAAACAATGCACTCAGCCTTCTAATAACTTTTATTATTCCACTGATTTCATTGTGCCCAGAAAAGCCCCTTTTTCCTTCTCCATGGCAGCCGCAGAGAAAATTCTTGTTTCTGGGGACGAGAAATACAAACAATCCCTACCACTTGGGATGCACCAATACCGATACTAATATACATATACAGAGTACTCGCCCAAATACTCCGGATGCCTATCCTGATACTGGAACTTCTAGTATCAGGTAGCCGGGGGGCGAGTCATTACACACTGCCCAGGTTCCTGATTAGCCGCCACCATGGCCCATCAGGAAGCCAGGCGGCATTTAATGACTCACCACTCGGCTTTCTGATTGGCCGGGAAGCTGGCCAGTTAGGAAGTCGGGCGGTGACTGATTACCTGCCCCTCGGCTTCCTGATTAGCTAGACAGCCGGCTCCATGCTTCCTCCTCACCCGGTGACAAGGTAGCATGGAGCCGGCTTCCCAACTAATCGGGAAGCCGGGCGGCGAGTCGTTACACGCTGCCCGGCTTCCTTAATTGGACTTCTGGTCATGATATTCGGTACTGGCAAGTACCAACAAAAATAAAATAATGGTACTCGATACCAAAAAAACGGTATTGGTGCATCCCTACCTACCACTCTAAAACCCTCCATGCTATCTATCCCGATGGGTCAGGAACGATCCCTGAATGAATCCCTAGATAGGACTATTGCTTAAAGACCCATACCCCTCAGGATAAGTCCGAAGTTGGTCCCTATGAGCAGGAGTGAGGAATAAGAAGGGTGCACATAAGTATTGTTAGTTTGAGTACTTTAGTGGCCATAGACAGGCCATAGAGGTAGAAGAACTGTATAAAGTCCAACAAAGAAAAAACAGTTATATCACCATCTGAAAAGAAAAACAATTGTATTCATAAAATGTGGTGTTTTCATACTGTATTCCTTTCTGAAATCTTACCCAGTAAAGCTCAACAAATATATGTTGTACTTTTACACATTCATATACAGAATAGTTTGACTTTTTCTTACAAGTATGCAGCAACTGAAGTCAAATCTCTTGATCTGCATTCAATGACTCATAAAGTATTGAAGCCACTAGATCAGCACAACAGCCAGGCCAGCCAGCATTTCACAAAGCCCAGTATGTCAGAGTGCAGCGGGATAACAGGTGCTGTCATATTAGTGAATAGACTCTGCACTTCCACTAACACAGCCTGTCCTCCTCCTAACCTACAGCTAAGGAATGCTATTATCTCTGTGTGAAAGCAGCGGTCTCACTGCAGCGGTCCATCCCACCCCCTGCTGAGTCAGACTTATAGCTCAGCAATCAGAAGAGAGTGTGATTGCAGAACTTTAGGACTGACTCAGCAGGGGCTGAGGGCTGCAGGCTAGTGGTGGGGCAACTGTTGTGTTAGTGGAAGTGCAGCGTTTTTACACTAATATGATAGCTAAGACACTGAAAACCTGTTACTTTTGCTGAAACCTACAGTGATGGGTGCAGATTTGTATAAAGGTGGCCATATGCAGTTATATTTTATTAAAGGAGAATTATGAGGCGAGTGATTTTCACTCAGTCTCATAATCTGAGCCGACCTGTGACAATGAAACTGTCACAGGTCGGCTCAGTAGATCGGGAAGTGAGCGAACACATAGCGTCGCTCGCTCGCTCTATCCCTACAGGGAGCCGTGACTGTCACTCACGGCTCCCTGCAGGGATTCCTCCCCTGTCCGATCCTCCAGCGCTGACTGGCGTAACAGACGGGGGAAGGGCGGGTACAGCTGGCTCTGCCTCTAGATAGGCAGAGCCCGCTGTCACTCACGCAGCTGGGTGGATCTCGACAGCATTGTTAAGAATCCGTTCCGGCTGCGGTGTCTCAGTATACCGCGAGCTATGCTGAGCTTTGGGTGACGGGAGGACGCTAGATTGTGTCCTCCCGTTACCCTTAGGAGAACTATGGGAAAAAAGCCCTAACCCCATAGTTCTCCTTTTATTCAGCCTGCGGGCTGAACCAAAAATATAACAGATTCTTCCATCCACACTAAACAAATCTCTTGCTGTGTCCTGGTGTGCCGCTGTCAGAATACCGGAGCAGTGACGGCAGCTGATTGACTGCTTCCCTGTTCGCCCTAAAATTTCCCATTCAGTACCTTTGATTTTTCTGATTGTCGGATGGAAGGGTGTTGACAGGGACACACACAATAATGAAATTCGTACAGTGTTTGGACAGCTTTAGACTTCAATTGGGCGTTAAGTCTCCTCTAAAGCTGGGTACACATGGAGCGGCTAAAATTCGAACCATTGGTGGCTTTATCTACTTGACTGACGTCAGTCATTAGTTAGAGCTAAGGGGACATGATGGAAAATCATCGGTCGAACACTGCTTGCAGCCCATTAGCTGCAAGTACTGTTCCGGTATTGTGACAGAATACAATGTACTCAGCTAACAGCTGTTAGTGTGGATGGAGGAATCTGTCATATTTTTTTCGTTGAGGCTGAACAAAGAAAAATCTAACCATATGTACCCAGCTTTAGGCAAGCATTGGAACAAAGCTCTGAATGGCAGTCTCTGGTTGTAGTGATGTGTCTGGGACTTGATTGATCCAGGCTCCATATTGTTTATTATTCCTCCTGTGGAAGGGGATTATCTGCCCTGGAGTTGTTGTGGAAACCTGATGACGTCATTTGGACATGTATCCATGCATTGATTACAGATAATAGTGATTGGCTGCTTGCTGGCATCCTAATGAACCACAGAAGTCAGTCTAGCCATGAATAGGGTAAAACATCTCCACAGATGAAATGGTTAATACGTATCTCTCCATCATTCCAGGCAGGCGGGAAGTATTCTTTGGGAATATCACAATACTAGATTCTTCTGACGCAATTATATTCATTTCTTGTAATGCACTTACACATTTCACAAATGCTTTTAATAGCAATCTGAAAATGAATTTGCTGATCTGGGTGGGAGCAGGTTAATGTATCACATTTTGACATGCCAGTTATTAAAGATGAATTGTTTGATTATGAATGCATTACTGCCATGCTATATATTATGTTGAAATATGGATTTTGGCTTCTTAGGAAAATTACAAATACAATAACTATCCATTTGTAGCGGGTGTTTTTTTTTTTTAGAAAAGTACATTTTCAGCTGAGATCATTTATTTTAGCTGTTACATTAAAGTATAAAACAGCGATCGGTAAATTAAAGGCGTTGAAAGTGTGTGTACTGTTTTGTTAATGTATAATTGACAGAATTAACCCTTCTTCAGTTATCAAAGCAATTAAAGAAGAACTCTGGGAATTGAATCAGCTTACCCTTGCAGTACGGCTACCCCCGCATGCAAGGATTAAGTCCTTGCTTTGTCAATAAACTCACCTGATCCTCGGTCCTGTCAGGCTGCTATACCTAGTCCCCGCAGCCTCTTCTCCCACTGGCTCTGGTGGTCTGCTGATGTCATTAGGTCATTAAGGATCGCTGATGTCATTACGTCTCATGCAGGTCTATTCACTTGCATTAGAAATGAGGACCCCAAGGTACAGCCGGAACAAAGAGGTAAGTGATGATTACCGCAGGACTGAGGATCAGGCGAGTATATCTGGGGGGGTTGAGTCCCCTAGACAAAACTTGCATTTAAGGGAAGCCCCATTGCAGTGGTAAGGTTTTGTTTTCTATTCTCAGAGTTATCTAAACCCTCCACTCCCCTCCACCTGGTGATTCCTACATCACTAATAACTACATCAATCCTTATATTTGGGAACTCCTAGTTGTGTGAAAGGATTTGTCCAGTTAAAGTGTACCTGAGACCTGTGGAGGCTGCCATTGCTGACTCTCTTTTTGAAAATGGGATTTCTCTGCTGTAATTCTGTTTTAATACTTTTAAGTCTCTAAACCCAGAACAAATATGGAAATGAGGAAACTACTTTACTTGATACACGCTTGTTCTGGATCAGTGGCTCAAAGTAAAGGTAAATGGGTTGTTCACTTCACTATCATTTTCCCTTAGCTAGGTGAAGGAAGTGATTGGTCATTTTCACCACATTCACTAAGCTTCCGAAGCAAAGTTAACAGCCTATTTGCCTTTAGTAAATGAACCCCGTATTATTGAAAGCAAAGCGTCTGTATGAGTGTCGGGTGGCTAGTACTGTTAGTAAAAGGTCAGTAATGGCAGCTTACCGGATTCATTTATGCTAGCATTACTTTAAAGCAGGTTAGCCAAGCTTCGGCTCTCCAGCTGTGGTAAAGCTACAAATTCTATCATGGAAGTTGTGCCTGTCGCCGTCAGGAGTCTTGCAATGCCTTATGGGACCTGTAGTTCCACAACAGCTGGACGGCCAAGGCTTGGCTACCCCTGCTTTAAAGCATTCCATGTGGCGATATGGCACACAAATGTTCACACTTGCTGATTAAATATTCTCCACTTCCTTTGGAAATGATCTGACCTGGCAAATTGTCATTCCGAACCTGTTTGGAGCAATTCGTCTGCATTTCTTGTCCCTTTACTCATACTAAAAGTATTGTAGATTATTTCTTGGAAATCAGAAAGACATCATATCAGTTATGCCCATCTGATGGAATGGGGTTGTATGCTGCTCTTTCTTCTCTTAATTCTTTGGCCCTTTTTTTAAATTATTATTAATGGTGTTTTTGTTCCAACTTTTGCATGCGGGCACATATACCTGTGTATTTTATTTCCTGCTATTTGTAGCATATTTTGGGCTGTTGATGTTACTGATGGTACATCATACCACTCCAACACCACAACGGGGGGTGTGAACAAGCCCTCATAGTCTTGCTGTGATGGACACTTTCATAATATACAGTAAGCATTGGAGTACTGACCTGGGCTTGAGAAAATGTTGCCCCCAGGCTCCCCCTGGTGGCCAGTCATGTGACTGGATCTGAGTCATTGGTCACATGGTCTCTTCCAAAAAGGCTTGAAGCATTATAATCAGCAGCCCTGACTAAACCGCAATCCTCCCCATTGATGGAGATGATCATTGTCACCAAGCACGGTTTTCTCAAGCAAAGATACTGCAGCACTTTGCTATTATTCATCTCTTTCAGTATGGCTGTTTACTTCAATGTAATCACTGAGCATAGTTAAGTTCATCTATCAGAAAAGGTCTTCAAGTTCTTCATGTAAAAGCACCTTCTGGCAGAGGTGTACAGGAGCTAAACAGAGAAAGTGTGGTCACGGAAGAGCCCCGCTGGTAACAGCTGTGCTGCCTTCTGTTCCCCCATCGCATCGGTGTACAAACAGCTCAGAGCAGGAGGAGAAGAATGTCTAGTATTAATTATGACCATTAAGCATCACTTATGTCCTGAGCAGATTGTGTCTGCAGAGCACGTCTTCAGTCCTGCAGGCAGGGGGCATTTCTCCCCCAACTCTTATCTCCTAGAGATAAGACTATTTCTCTATAGCCAGGCTTCAGATAATGTATCCAGGATGCTAATGTTTCATTAATTACCTCTCCCCTTTGTTTCAGCAATGCAATCCTGAGGTTCGGCACGTTGACTTGGAAATTTTATAGAAGCGGAAGAATTTTCTATTCATAAAATTCATAGAGGAAGGAATGAGGAGACTGTAGAAGAAGCTTCATTTCATTTTCCAGCATGCATGCTCCATGACTAAATTGTAAATGAGTGCGAATCGCCCTACAATGCAAATGCTCTGCACACATGAAGTCATGTTTACAAGAGCATCTTAGAGTCGGTTGTTGTCAAATTATCTGCAATGACTTTTTTTGTGCCGGACGAGAAAAGAAAAAAAAAAAAAAAAAAAGCTAACGTTATTTATTTTGTACAATTGCCTCACAGAAGGAAATCGCATTGTTTTATTTCATTCCATCTACATGCGTGACGTTGACCTCGTTTGCCGGGTTTTCTTTCGCTTTTACTAACTGGACAGCCAGAGATAAGGAATCAACCATTTGCACTCCTGCCATTCCTTCATCTTATTCTATGCTCATTGTATATAGAACAAAGGTTTTGATGCTTTTATTTTTCACTGGAAGTGATTGGAAAGTTCTTTCTGAAGAATTGTTAGTTTTTGGGTTGTTTTTTTTTTGATGCTACCAAACAGTTGTTCTGTTCCTTGGACTCCTCTGTCGGTCAATGAACGGCTGTCTTTATACCTTGTGCCGCAATGTCCTCTTTTTGCTTGACACTACAAAAGTGACAATGTAGGTCTTACCCTTTCTGAAAACATTGTTTACCCTATAAAAGGTTTTCTATTTGTTTTGGGCTTTTTAAAAATAAATGAGAACATTATTATTATGTATAATAAGAGAGACAACATAAAACATTCACAATGTAACGGAATAAAACAAGATTCATAAAGTACCAGTAAATATTCACATTTTAGAAGTATATCCTAAACAGGGATAAGCAAACTGATCTGAGGTCTATAAAGGATCTGGCAAATCAAAATTGATCAGATGCTCTGCAGGAGAGTTGTGGAACTGCCGATCTCCTCCAAATATGAAAGTGAATGTGCCGTTTAGCCCGATCTGATACACATCAGTCATTTGATCCACAGTGAACTATAAAACAGTTTGCTGATCTGTAACTCTATGTATGTATTTGGCTCTACAAGAAATGTGTTCTGAACAAACTTGCCTTCCTGATCACTGATAAAATATTGTGTCAGCTGCACGTTCTTGACTCGAAATAGGACAGGTATCCATAAACTGTAGCAGAAGGGTCAGTAGTTCCCAAATTTCCAACAAAAGTGGGTTTACAAGCATTGTGCAACTTTCCTGGATGTAAGGTATTGCTGGCTGAGGGAAGGTGGCCTTATTGTTTAATGGGGTAGGTGCCATGCCAGAACACAAGTACCAGGATCTCAGTTGACTATTGTAAATTCATCACTTTGTCATTTGCTTCTGTACTGTTAAAAGAGCTGTGATGTGCTAGGTAGCTAGTATGTCCCAGGTACAGGCGCCAGGTACATGTTCCTGATCATTATTGCTATGGGAGAACACTGCATTCAGCCTTGCTTAGTCTATAATGGCTCATTAGTCACCAATATATTTACCTTACCACAGCACTTGCAATTACAATGCCTAATATTGAATTCTGTACAGCAATGAACATCTTGGCATACATCTATGTGACTAGTCATAAGTGAGATAGCTTGTATTTTTTATTTTTTTTAACTCTAAATGATGCCATACTTGTGACACAATATTAAATCCTGCCCAGAGGAATGTTTGCCTCTGGAGGACCTGTCTCTATTTTGTCACATACTTTAGCTTCATTGAAAGTTTCTGAGTGACTTTGGGGTTGATAGAAGTTTGTCAGCAGCTCCAAAGGATCTCTGATGCCAACTAGCTGATGGACTTGTATACAGTCATCTGCAAAGCAAACCATTAGCCTCTGCCATATTTTATATCTGTGCCCATTAGTGCCTCCTTATCCCTGTTGGAGATTTAAAGGATAACATTGGTATTTCAGACACTTGTGGTTAAATCACTTGCCAGCTTGCATCTCTCAGAGAAGTAAATGGCAAGATTTCCCTGCAGAAGTTTATCACCCCAGCCTCTCTTGCCTGTCATGAAGAGTGCAGCCCCTCCATTTGGGGTGTAGTAGTAAGGCAGATGTTCATTTTGGTTTTCTTACTATTGGAATCCCTAAGGCTGGGTTACTGTACAGTAACATGTGTTACATGCTTTGGTAGAATGTGGTGCCAGTCCTTCATTCTGAGTGGCACCCAATGCACCAACACATGTTTTGCAGCAATGTAAATTGACTGCAATTGCAACCATTACTGCAATGTATAGGGTAAGCCAGCCACATTGTGCAATATGGTAATGTGCATGGTGCAATGCACCATATTGAACCAGACAGGCGTGAAATGTGACTCGCCAGCCGCCAACAAAACTGAGCTATCATTCAGGGTGAACGTACAGTTTAGGAAATCTTGGTCTTGATATGTATAGTAGAGTAAGAGTTCCATTTCACTAGGTTATCTTAGACATTTCCTTTGGATAGTGTTCCTCTGCAATAGGTCACCCATTCATATTCTAAATTACATTATCCTGTATTTCCTGGACTGTATTAGAAGCAGTTATACATCTTCCTTTTCTGCAGTTTTAACATAGACTGTAATATGCTCTCTATATATTTATAATTTTACATATAGCAAAGTATATTTTTAATTTATTGACAGACATTTATTAGATGTCCAAAACAAAATTGTAATAAAAATGTTAGAATTGAAAGTAAATTGTTTCGAGTGGAATATCGGCATATGTGATTATTTTTGGCTTGTACAGAGAGTGGGTGAATGGTGAGATGGCTGGTATAAAATGGACATAGTATAATATTTCACTGTTCACTTTCTTATTTCTTATGTTTATTGCCATGTATTGTCCATTGAAACAGTAAGAATGTGGTTCCATGTAAGAAACATTATTAACTATTGTAATGTTTCCTTTAATGTTACATATAAAATCTATCTCTCTTTTATATACTAGAATATACTCTGAATTGGTTTCATGCATTTGTATGGTTTGTGTTTCTAGACTGTAGAGACAATGATATGCAGTCCTACATGTGTCCAGTAAAGTCATTTTGTTTATAATAATTTCTGTACTCTTTAGGGCAGTTTGGCTGTATGGCACAGCTCATATTTAAATTCAGCACATTAGGTAATAGGAAATGCTCATCTACAAACACTATATATATATAAATTTGTAAAAGAATTCTACCATTTAAATATTTAGTGTATTTTGTCTTTGTCAATTTTTCGGACTGGTGTGAGGACTAGATGACTCGATCACAGTAACCTGACAATTTTCCATGATGCCTTTGAACCTTTATGTCTCCATATTGGAATTCAAAGCAATGCTTTTGATTCAAAATTCTGGCTAAGGTAGCATTGTGAATGAAATGCAGACACCCTTTGATGTGTTCATAGCAATGGTGATGCTGTAATATGGACCAAGAACATAAGATGAAGAACCAGGCCACAAACCCCTACTTCCCACTACTGTGACTCAGACCACTCATTACATTTAAGGGCCAGCAGTAAAACTTCAGAGGCAGGGAAGGACAGACCAGCCAATGATGTGTTCAGTTTGATGTTTGCATATTAGTGTGTCCCAAGATTAAGGACTCTAGGGTGCTCTGGATGATGTTAAAAAAATGTGCTTTAAAAGTTAAAGGATTTTTAAGGGGCAAACATTTTATCAAATGCATACACCCTAGAAGTAACTGCACCCTAAATGGTGTACAGAAGTTCCACAGAGTAATCCCACAGCTGCATTTTCGGACACATTTTATATTTCTGGCTGCCTGCACCTCAATTGGTCCCCGATTAATGATATGCCCTCCACTTTCCTGAAGAGCAAATGCTGTCTTCTGGAATCTGGGGTAAAGAGGATAGAGACTGTGACAGTGAGTTCTGAGATGAAGAAGATTTGGCTCAACCCACCTCTCCTCAGGGTCACACTGACTGCCAGTCCTAGAAGGTGCCTCCACTAGATGGGAACTGCTCCACTCTGCAACATCAATCACCTCAACTACACAATGGAGAATTGAAATTCTGCAGCAGCCCCCCTTGAATGACGACATACAGGTTAGCCACCAGACTCACTACACCAGCCCCAAAACGCCAAAGGATCCCCTGATCCAGGGAGTCTATTGTTACAGGTCACACCACTGCACTACGGGATAACCAAAAGAGCCCCACCTCAGTCTCCCAGCATCCTCTGTCATCCAACTGATACCAATGTAGCAGCATTGTCCCTCCTAATTAAGCTCTTCCCACTGTTAACACAATTTGGCCATACCCACCATTCAGGCTGCTATGGGCCCTGCCCCCTACTCATCCCTCTGTCACATTCCCATTTAGGGTACAATTTCTGCAAAAAACGTTTTCCAAGAAGTACACATGAGAAAAAAGGTTGGGAACCATTATTCTAAATCCGAGTGGTAAGGTTTGGCAGGTAGATAATTAAACAATGTGACAATGCGCCCTGCCTTCCATAATTCATGACTGAAGCACTGTTAACACATTTGTACTCTGCTGCAGTACAAAGCCAGTAGAAACCTAATAATTCCTTGTATGTCTTCTTCATTGACACAGCTGCCTGGCAAAAGAGGTATTGTCCAATTTTTACAGATGGCTTACAGTAGTCCATGGCATGTGCCAGGTAGTCACTAGCTGTCTTCCTATGTTCCTCTACAAAGCCTTCAAAAGATCACAATATGATCGCTATAGTAGGTCTATATAGCATGTTACACATCTTTCTCTGGGAAAATTACAAATAAGGATGTGCAAATTGACAGCTTACCTTCAATGAAATGTCATATCCATTATTTTATCACTGTGTGGAGATGTGAGTATATATACTGTATCCCACAACTCATCTCTGCATCCTGATTTAGCTGTTTACTGTGCTACCATGGGGGGGAGGAGACCCGAAAGCCAGAAATCAGCCAATGTTTTACTGCTATAAGTCATTAACTTGGCTATCAATGCCTTTTACTGGGTTACGAAATAACTTGCAATGTGGTTAGAGCGTATATACCCAGTGAACTATCTACTAACATGAGCACCTGATTTACTAAAATGAGGAATAAACCCCATTGTTGTGGATTGGTGATGAAGGTAAGGTGAGTGAATTATTAAATATGTCATATTTGTTTACCGGTACCCTTAAAAGATTGAAACCTATCTCATGATCCTGTTTAAATTCATCGATATTTATGCTGAACAAATGCTGCTCCAATGCTGGAATTCAGAAATCTGTC